AGAGAGAGAGAGAGAGAGAGAGAGAGAGAGAGAGAGAGAGAGAGAGAGAGAGAGAGAGAGAGAGAGAGAGAAAACTCTTTTACACATATGAATGGCTCCATAATCTTTTAATTTTATTTTTTTGGTTAGTGTTTTACGGCACCCGCAACTACATAGGTCATATGATCACGCGGGACACATGATACATTTTCAGTTCAGTTGGTAGGAAATTTTGAATTTTGCCCGGGTAGAGGCCGAAGACTACTCTCTTATCGATTTTAAATCACAAAGGGATCGTTAACTTGCGGAACTTGCATAGGGGACCTCTGAGATGTTTTACTCTTTTCCGAGATGTATAGATCTTACCTACCATAGGGTTAGAGGTGTGGCTGAAAGACAGCATTAAGAGGGAGCCAAGGAGTAGCAGTTGAAAGGCGGCAGAAAGAGACACGAGCCCAGAGGAGGGGCAGAAAGTGGAGACGAAAGCAGACAACAGAACATTGTTAGAGAGCAGGAAAGGAGGTGAAAGGAGGAAATTTAGAGAAAAATATTTTCCGTCGCGGTCTGAATTCGAAACCGGAACCTATCGAATGAGAGGCAAACACTATATAAATAACCTCTTAACCAGGAGATCCCTTGCCATTTTTATTCCAGGTACTCTGATGCTATTTGAAAAAAACCCCAATAAGAGTAAAAAGTTAAAATTAGTAACCTTAAAAAATCATGGAACATTATCCAAGGCAAAAATAGAAAAACATTCAGTTTATTTCAACCACAAAGCAATAGAAACAAAACAATATTATCAAGTCAAAGTGTACACCGGCCATCTGTGCTGATATTTTTCAAATTCTTCTCTTTTGATGAGAAGTTCAGCCTTTCACTCGATTTTTCCTCAGTCACTATCTCTGTTTCCATCTCCATCAAAACCTCTCTCTTCCTCTCTCTGTCTATCTATCTTTCTATCTCTATCTCTCTTCCTCAGCAATTTGATGAGTTTGTTACAGGTATAGCCATTTAACCATGACGCAAAACTTAAGTTGTTTTGTGCATTCAAAAGACAAGACTCAACAAAGAAAATGTGTCACGACGTGGTGGAATCAGGTGTTCATCAATTTTTGGGCATGTGGAGTTACTGGTGTCATCTAAAAGCTGATTCATTTGCCTTGCTTTAAATGAAAAAGAAATACCCATCTATCTTAAAAAGAAGTCCAGATATTTGTGATTGAAGGAGGTGTAGTCGCCTGGTTTCAGTGATAAAATTAGCAAGAAAATTGCCGCCAAATTTAAGTAACTTCAACTTCAGTAGCTTGTGAGTCCCTCAAAACTGAAAAATTACCTATGTTGAGCCTTTAATCAACGTTTTCAGTCAAATTCACATTGAAATGTGTTTTGGTATGGACATAAAAGTGTTGAGCCAAAAACAAAAATTTGATAAAAATTGCTAAACTGGTAGGGAAATGCCTGTTTCTTTGATTTTATTATTTTGACTAGTGCCTGGTTTCACCACAATGCTGCACAAATGGTAAATGGAAGCTTGGGGAGAGAGGGGTGGGTGGGAGGAAGGAGTAGTGGGGGAAGACAAAGATGAAGATGAATATAGGAGGAGGACATCAATGATTGGAATGAAGCAAAAACATCATGTACAATCACAACACAGACAGAGGCAGAAACCAGGGCAAAATACCGTTCAGGGATTTGACAACTCATACAGAGACATGAAAGGATGATGATGATGACGATGACGATAATGATGATGATGATGATGGTAAAGATGTTGATGATAATAGCCTAATAGATATACAATCAGTCTATTACAAACATCATTTTCTTTATTCAACCTGTCTAACATTTTCATCAAGTGCCACTGTCTTTTCTTTTCGTTCTCTTACTCTCTGCTCTTTCTTTAAGAATAAAATTTTTTTTTAAAAACAAACACACACATACACACACACACACACACACACACACACACACACACACACACACACACACACACACACACACACACACACACACATCACATACAAGAACACACTCACACACATACAAGAGCGCACTCCCACACATACACACATCAGTCTTTCTTTCCTATACATTAAGCCATGGCCAGCTTAAACTTGAGTCCTGGGGCAGCCTTATAGCGGAAGGTCCCTGTCCACACTTGGCCCTCTGTGTCCGTGAACTCTCCCTCACCTTCCATTCTACAAAAACATGGAATAGAGGAACAGAAAAAAGGTCACTTATGTCACTTACTCATACTGAAAACTTAAAACAAATGTGACAAAAGCTGATAAAATGAGTCACTTCTCGCAATAAGTGAACAGAGATACCATTTAGGACGAAAATCAACACTGGGGTCAAATTATAAGATTTTCAGTTGATGCCATTGTCTTTAAGCTTAATTTGTCTTTGATTATTACATACTTATAAATTTTACAAACTTCACCTATAAATTTGGGATATCTATGTTCATAGGGCTAAAACCCAAGAAGTAACTCATTTCGTCATGTTGCCTGACAAATAATATCAGAATAGTAAAGGGATTTCTTACGAGGCAAAAGAAAAAACAGTTCTGAAACACAACAGGGGAAATAGGAAGTGATCATTTGTACGAGTGATTGTATATATATATGCAAGTGACCCTCAGAGCAGATTTGACTGTATTATGAGAACAACTATGCAAAACTTTAAAAAGCTTACACACTACACTAAAAAAGTAACACTGTATTTCAGAGAAATATGAGTCAGCTCACCAAAAACTTAGAACAAGGATTACTTTAACTCATACATTTGTGTCACAGAGATGTAGGTGTTGAGAGTAACTTTGGTTAATTCCATTTTTCTCCAGGCCAAGGCAAAAAATTTGCATTAAAATCTCATCTCATTCGAAGAAAAAGTAAATCCTATGTCCTACCCCTAAAAATAAAAAAGGACAGTCACATAAAGTATAGGGTGCCCACAGTTCTTTGGCTTTTTGACTTACTGCACCCTGACTATTTTACAAAATGCTTTGTTTTCCCATAGATATACTGATTGAAAATGGTGCATTGGTATAGGTTTAACGCATCCATCAACATTATTAGGTCATTTAAAAGGCAGGACCTCCGAGTATAATGTTAATCTCAGACAGGACAGAACCAAATAGGAAATTCACATAAAGTGCCTTTCCCAAAGACACAACGTTGGACCGAGCTGATGCTCAAACCCTCGAGCCCGCATGATTACGGGTCCGGTAGTCTAACCAATAGGCCATTGATGCCACTATATACTGATTGTCTTGTATTAGTAAATAATGTCATAAAAGAAGTTTGGTCCATTTTTTTCAGTTTGCTGATTTCAACTGGTAACATTATTCCTGTCTACCTTTCACTATTCCAGATGTAAATTTTGTTAAATCCTTTTCCTATAAATGAAATTCAAAACACATTCCACTTGTTATAAATTGTAGTGTTGGCATATTTTTCATACCATGACAATGAAAAAGGTTGAGTTTCAAAATGTTTTGGAAAAACTAGTGGAAATTCACTGGCACAAAATGAGTTCAACTTCGCTATGAAATCATCACAAACTATAGAAAGATGTTACTTACAGCTTTCTCACATCCTTCAACCCCCCCCCCCCCCCACCCACCCCACACCCCTCATCATCCTTTTCCCTAAAGTGTGTACACACACACACACACACACACACATATATATATATATATATATATATATATATATGTAGGCACACACCTGGGTGTTGCAAATAAAATAACAAACAGGCTTGGGATGAACTTCATTTTCATGGGCTAGAGCAGAAACAGATAGGGTGTTGAAAGTAATTTATACCTGTGTGACACATCTTAGTAGTGGCATGGATTTCAACAGCATCTATGATTACTTGCATATTGTCTGACAGTATACGTAATTAGAAAAAAATGGAGTTCTACTCAAAACAAATTGAGGTTTTACGGAAAAAAACAACCCCAAAACAGACAAATCAAAATTTCTCTCTTAATTTTTGGATGGTCTTTGAGTAAATTACTAAATACCTGTACGCTTGACTACATCTTAACTGCTCAGTGTAAGACTCCATCATATGCCAATTTTGCCAAAATAGCGTTTAAAAAATGGTGAAATGGTATAGGTTTCATGCCCTTATCAACACTGCTAGGTTATTCAAGAGACGAGACCTCCGAGTTTAACGCCCATCTCTGAAAGGACAGAGCCAAATGGGAAATTCGTGTAAAGTGCCTTTCTCAAGGACACAACGTCAGACCAAGCAGAGGCCCAAACCCCTGAACCCCTCTACCCACAATCTCACGATCACAGGCTACCGAAGCCATTCCAAAATAGAGTATAGCGGAGTCTTACACAGTAGTAGATTTACACTTTAGATGAAAAATTATTTTTTTCACATCAATTATATAACCAAAGTACACAATTAGTCGTAACATATTCACTTACCTATTTTCAACAAATTGTCCCTCATAAAAGGAACCATTTGGCCAGCAGTATTTTCCTTTACCATGAAACTGATTGTTGACAAAGTCGCCTTCGTAGGAAGCATTTGATGGGTTGGTCAGTTTACCTTGACCATTCATCCTGTCATTTTCCCATGAGCCTTGGTACACAATGCCTGTCACACTCGTGTGAATTCCTTGACCAGTTCTCTCAATGGAGCCAGCATCGGTTTGTATGCAATCACCCTCTGAAAAGGAATGAGATAAAACAAAAAGCAGGTAAGTGTGGTATACAATCATACCCGCCTGGTCGCAACAGTTTGGGGCAACCACCGAGTATGGTGTTCTAGACACAAGGCCCTCACAAACCTTAGTTAGCTGGAACTGTGAGGCTCTGGTGGTACCTCTAGGCAGTCATCTTTCAATATAGGATGGTACTCTAACAGCTTCCTGCACCTAGATACTAACATGATCATCTTGTCTTTATCTTGCAACCAGATACATTGTACCTCGGTCAGAGAGTGAGTCAGATGTTTGCGCTGCTCTTTCTCAATTTGAACAAACCTTAGCGCAAGTAAAGCATCTGCTTTTATCTTTATCTATTCCCTCCCTTTCTTTGCTGTCTATTCCCATCAAATCTCTTTCGAAACTGGTGAGTGCAATGGCAGCAGGCTTGCATTTGGTCTCATTGGCCACAGCAGAAGCCACAAGTCATCTTATCTTTTTATTCTTCTAACTCTTCAATTATGCTGGAGAAATATTCTCCTTTGTGGATGTATAGGTTATCGTCAGACATAGACGGACGAGCTTATATTATCATACAAATACAGTAGTTAAGTCAGCTCTAGTGACCATCTGTCCAAGACAACCCCTTGTATAAACACCCGTTTCCCAACAGTCCCCCCTCCCCCTTTGCATCTTTTAAAATTACGTTAAAATACTTATCGTATTCTCCACTGTCCAAGAGAACCACCAGTCCCTAAGATGACTAATTTTCTCCTTAACAAAGGAATTTTTTTCTCAACAAAAGAACTTTTATCTCGACTAACCACAATGATCAGGGTGACAGACAGCAGTCAAATTACAGTCAAACCTGCCCTGAGGGCCACCTCTATAAGACAACCACCTGTACAAACGGCCACTTTCCATTTCCCCCCTTGTGTTTTGTCTATATAATTTAACTGTGTAAAACGGGCACCTGTCCAACGCGGCCGCGGCCACTATAATTTAACACACAACCCCTATCACACTCAGCAATAACATCTGTCTTAGACTGCCACCTTAGTGACTATATTACGTTTTGTCATAAATTGTGCATTGGCCCCTAGCGTTGTGGGTGAACCGTCATAATTCAATCACCTGTCGTTGTTGTTAGGTAGTCCCTCCAACCAATCATGTTGCGAAGGACCCTCCCACTGTTGACCAATAGCTACCAATTTTCAGCTGCTGGTGAAGTAAGCATGTAATCCCTCATAACCCATAAGCCTCGTCCAGAACTCATACACAAATCATAAGCAAGATGAGTGGTCACTGTTTACCCAGTCTGTAACAAAGCAACAAAGGACGTCAACTTGAACTTGTGACAGAAGCGTCGCTCATTCTCTGAGAGGTGGCGACCCATGTGTTTGTTTAAGCATGGCACTCGGTCTTCCTCGTCTGATACATTTCGTTTTATTGTCACCCTTGTGAAAAATCAGCAACAAAATAAAAATTACAAACAAAATACAAACCAACAACAACAACAACAAAAACAACAACAATATGGCTACTTTCGATTGGGACCTCAGATGGGAATGGTTTGTTTTTTTCATCTTGATCAGTCCTGCCTAAGACAGCCACCTGTCTTATACGGCCACTTTTCTCCTTGACAATGGGTGGCCGTCTTACACAGGTTTGACTGTATTTCACAACTCTGATTATCCAGGAAAATTTCTGTGCTGGAGCACCACTCAAGCACTTTCACAAGCAATGATCAGTGTGGATAAATCCACTAACAATTAGCCACAGATTTTTTCTTATATCACACTCCAAATGAAACAAAATTTTTATACTCACCATACTTATCTCCATTTGGAAACATGTATACACATGACGTTATCTCAGCAGGACCCTTCTCCTTCTTCTTGTCTTTCTTCTCCCCTGAACAGAAATGAAGTTACATGATACAAAGCAAAGATTTAAATCATATTAAACAGTTACATATATTTAGACTAAATACCATCAGGTATTTAGTAAAAAGTAAGTAACCATCAGGTATCTTACACACAATCAACTAATGCAGGTACTTCAACAAAATATTACACCATCGTCTTTAACAGCTGTATGACACAAAATATTACACCATCGTCTTTAACAGCTGTATGACACAAAATATTAAACCATAGTCTTTAACAGCTGTATGACACAAAATATTAAACCATAGTCTTTAACAGCTGTATGACACAAAATATTACACCATAGTCTTTAACAGCTGTATGACACAAAATATTACACCATAGTCTTTAACAGCTGTATGACACAAAATATGACACCATCGTCTTTAACAGCTGTATGACACAAAATATGACACCATAGTCTTTAACAGCTGTATGACACAAAACGAAATATTATACCATATTATTTACAAAAAGTGATGTATACTTAGGTGACATATCTAAGGCTCATGTGGCCTTGTGCAGTGGCGCCCTTTGTAAAGCTCTAACTCAAAAACGAAACAAAAACAAAACTCCTTCCTTTTGTTTTTTGCTTTGTTTTGATTTTACTTTTGCTTGCTTCTTCAGTGGGTGTTTTTTTTCCTTGTTTTTTATTTCCATTTAATTGGTTTTAGTTGTAGTTTTCGGGGGGGGGGGATGTTTGGTCTTTGTTTGTTCATTTTTTGGGGGTGAGGGGGGGAGGGTTGGAGGATACCAATGCAAGTGCCTGCTAATATAGAATGTATATTTATACTATAAGTGTATAAATGTCACAGCGTGGTGTTTGTGTGTTTGTGTGTGTGTGTATGTGTGTGTGTGTGTGTGTGTGTGTGTGTGTGTGTGTGTGTGTGTGTGTGTGTGTGTGTGTGTGTGTGTGTGTGTGTGTGTGTGTGTGTTTTGTGTGTGTGTGTGAGTGCAAGGGTGTTTCTTTCACTGGACAAGACCGGCGGTACCAGTCACTTTTTGTTAGCTGGACAGTGGACAAGAGATTGATTGCTGATAATTATTTTCATTTAGTTTAAAGTAAATAAACAATAATATCTATCAACGTTCAAAAAGCACTCTGCCGATTTGAAAGAACTTGAGAGAGACAATAGGGGTTCACTGGTGTGTTATCACAATACAGAGACTTGTTCCTTCATGCGGGCTTGTAACTTTTATGTAAATCGGCTCCTATCACAATGTGGAACTCATCTATGCTAGACCTTACCGAACATCACCTGCACAGTGGTGAGGCCAGTATCCCAGCAAATTCAGCTTTTGTCCTCAGAGAGCAAAGATGGCTTCTAATTGCAATTGGCCTGTTTGTTACTTACAAAGGAAATATATATGTCTGTAGTACAAATCAATATTATTTTGAATAATTTCAACAGCTACATTCTTCTTTCAACCTGAATTTATATCTTATTACTGCCTGTACATCTATATATCTATTGCTTGCAAATGTATAATCTTTAGTACCTGTTGAATTACAAGCCATCCATGGGTCTATTTGGTGTTCTATTAGGCGCCTACTTCCCGGAGTTACCTACTCAGCCAAGACTCAGGGCCGGCTTTCTACGGACAGCCCAGTTGGAATATATTATACAGGGAATTTTTTTAAGAGAAGAGAGAAGCGCTTCACTCAGCTGGATCACAATCTGGGCCTAAAACAATACACCCTACCCCACTTCCCTTTTCCCTTTTCGGCCTTCACCACAGCTAGGTCTACTTAGAACAGTGTGTTCTGATGGGAATTACAGCAGGTCAGTTCTTTGTAAGTATAGTATGTGAGTGTACGTCTTTATGTGTGAGAGAGACAGAGAGAAAGAGGGAGGGGGAGAGAGAGAGAGAGAGAGAGAGAGAGAGAAAGGGAAGGGGAGAGAGAGAGAGAGAGAGAGAGAGA